ACGTGGGGGGCGACAAAAAAAACGAGGCATATATAAAACGGTGACGATCTTCCCCCACCAACCTCTGCTTGGAGAGTACCTAATCACTAACTTTGGCCAAGTTATACTGTATCATATCTGCTTTCCACGTACATGGGCATGCATACCGAAAGAAAGGAAGCACATGGTTTGTGTTTTCCACGGCCTTTTCAGAATGATATTTTCCGCACTTTTCCATGATGACTGGCGAGTTTCCTTTCAATAAGAAAAGGTACAAACGACCGGTACCTGTTGGACCTGTTGTATTCGGGCATGGCGTTTTTATCTCTTCCAAGCTGTGTAGGGGGCAAGACTCCCACCAGCAACACATCTGGTATGAATTAAGATCAATAAAGGACAGTGACCCACATCCATGTATCAGTTTTGTCCAAATCGTGGTCGAGTGTGGACATCCTATCAGCCTTCAGTATATATAGCAGCGGTGAACAGACTCTACAATCATCATCGCCGAAAAGGAGGAATGCTTCTATAACGTTATCTCTTATAACGTTGTATCTAAAACCAGAAGTAATGATGCATGGCCCAAGGTCATCCACCAAAAGGCCCAAACCAACATTGATCTTTATCTTCCCAAGGTCTACCTACACTATTAGAATCCATCCAGAGGTATTTAATAAATTTCCAACGACACGCCAGCAGGCCTGGTCGCCAGAGAATGAAAGAAGACGGTGACCCAAAGCAAAGTTTTCTGTCCCCCATCTCTTTAATGTGACATTCCAATTTCCGGTGGCACGAGCCGCGGTGCCACGAGCCGCGGTGCCACGAGCGGCGGTTCTCTCGGCTCGAGCTCATCCCTACTCGAGTATGAGCACTGAGAGCCAGTGGTTGCAGTATCTTTACCCTCCATTGGGCGGCGCTAAATTGACACCATGTCACGGTCAGCTTGATCGTGACATTGGATGAGGCCATTGGCTGCAGTACTCACACCTGTCACTGGGCGGCGCTAAATTTGGACCGTATAGCGGTCATTTGCAACACGTTTATGACAATGGATTCAGAGGATTGAAAGATATAAATTTTGCCTCTTCCTCTGCAGGATTTTTAAGTGCCTTGGAGAACCACTGTTTGCAACAGTCTACCAGCAGACATACAAAACTACCTCTGTTCTTTTATGAAAAGATTTTTTGGAATAAAAGAAATGGCCGAAATGAATGGACACGGAGCATACACCAATTGTTACATTTTTATAAGACTATGTATGTGTACAGATACATATACTGTATATGTTTATCAATTTTGTGGCTATGAAGTTATTATATGTCTGACCCTGACTTCTTTCATTGTTGCCTCAAGAAAAGATCCCAGCAGTCCAAATTGAGTATTTCAAGAATAAACAGAGGCAAAAACAAACAAACAGTAATAAACAGTCTCATCCATAGCTTCCCATCCCTGCCAACGGTTTCCCCATCCATCCTTCATCATATCAAACACAGTTGTAAATTTGCATAAATCTGACTGCAATACCACAACACTCCTCCGAGGGTAGCTTGTGCGGACATTCATGCATATAAAGTAACTGACTGTTATCAGAAAACAACACAACACCACAACATCAGGGTACATCGGCATACTGTTTTATTCAAAGGGCACTTATCAATAAGTGCATTGAGCTATTCAGTACAACCTGAAAGGCACTGCCGTACCACACAAGATGTTGTACAGGAGCACAATCAAGTGGGATCAAGGGATACAGCATAGAATCATGTGTACCTGACTTTGGAGGTTTATAACATGTGCTCCTAGTGGTGGACAAAGAAACTGCATATCAGATGATATCCTGTACGATTTAGCAACTATTATTAAAAATCGATCTAAAAAAAGTTCACATCTGTAGTCAACCTGAGCCCAGCAAATTACCCAGAAGTCACCACTGTTTTTTTCCATGGTTGAATCCCCTGAATGAGGAGACGAAGCCCTGAGCACTAACAAATTTCTTCTTAGCATGTTTAGAGTGTCCTGTCGCCCCCTGTCCCCACCCCTGCTGTGCCTGCTCATGTTTGATCTGGTTGGCTTTTTTCCTCCTGTCACTCCTCTGCCTGGACTTCCTTTTGCCAGCTGTGAAAAAAAAGCAAAATGTTCACTCAGCAACTGGGCATTCCATCTTGAAAGTTCATATGTTGTGTGTGAAATTACAGTTTTAAAAGTGTTGGTAGAAGTCATTGTTGGTAGAAGTCAGTACAAGCCAAGTTCAAACTGTAATTTTTAACACAAGAAATTGGACAAATTTTTGACCGTACAACTCTAAACTTTGTCAAGGAGTGAGCAATCCACCACTTCAGAGCATTGTTGTGCAACAAAGGTTATTACTAACCTGCATCCTTCCTGCCATGTGTCTGCTGGAGGCTCACCTGTCGTCCCCCTTTTCCAACTTGAACCTGGACACCCCTCCACTCCCGTGGGTCGGTCCAACCGCCTCCTTGTTGGATCTTCTGTTTTACCTTCTTTTTCTTCTTGTTGGCATTTCTCTTAAAGTTACTCTTACATCGTTGGTCTAGTTGTTTCAGGTCGTAAGCCATTAACTGGTTTTCATATGCCTCTTTACTGCCCATTGCCAGATTCTTTCTTTCTAACCATTTTTTCTTCTTCTCAGATGGTCCTTTTTTCTTTCCGGTGATTTTGTTTTTGACTTTACTGATGGCAGTCTGAACAAACTGTGGCAGTTTGGATTTCTTTTTGTCTTTAAAGTTTTGTTTTGTTCCGTGTGGTGACTGATGTGTTGGTCCATTCCTTCTTGCTCTCTTCTTGCTGCTCCTATAGTTGTCATTATCATCATCTGGAGGAATAAAAACAGTTCTTGTTGTAAATTGTTAAGGCTCAGCTAAAGTAAGGTTTATCTCTGGTCTACTTGGTAACTTATGCCCTACACAGAGGTACATGTAGCAATGTCATGGAAACACTGCACATTCATGCCATCTATCAACACATGTCTGAACTGCAGCAGTTTTTTTACCCATTCATGACAGATGTGTAGTACGTTCTGCAGACATACTTATGTATGACACTGTGTATCTTGTAGAAAGGTGTACTCACCAAACTTCCTTTTCTTCCCTTTCCCATGGTGTGTGGACTCCCCATACACGGTTACGAAGGGTGATGAAGGATACAGGTACTTACACATGGGTGGCCACGAGCAGTCCTGAAAATGGTAAATGGAACATTCCTGTCAGTCCACCTTCGTCCAAAAGGGAAACCTTAATTTAAAGTTACAATATACCAGCCATGTTTTGTGTTATTGTGTATTGACCTGCCTGGAGGTTTGGCAAGTTTATAGTATACATCATCTTTTCAAAATATTTCATTAAAAGTAGTTATTTGTGACCATCACACTAACTTGTGAAAACAGCTTCCTATAAGAAAGTCCATAATTCCAAAAATACCTAAAAGCAGTTCCAATGGCCCTGACTGTACATCTACAAAAAAGTAGTCCTTTAATAACTGACTGTAGTGTTTGCAAAATGATCTTTGCTTACTTTGGATATACATGTAAGCTTTGTTCATGGACCAAAAGTGGTCTCTTTTTTTAACGCAGTATTGTTCATATAGACTCACATGTCCGAAGTGACCCTGAGCCCCACAGTTGTAGCACCAGACGTTGCTGTTTTGGTCACCCGAACCTCTCACAATACCTGCTCCCACTGTTATCTGCAATGGAAAATTATTATGTCAGTTGGTGACACAAATTATAACAGAAAACATGTCTTTAATATCCAAAGGAGTTATTAGTTTACCTTTGGATGAACATGTTCAGTACTGCCCTCTTTCAGTTCAGGCATGTAATGCAAATTGAGCATTATCATGGTAAAATCTTACAGAGAATGTCACATATACACATTAGAAGCTATACTTGCACATATGTAGCTTCAGTGTGTCACCAAGACTGCACATTTATGCCATCTATCAACACATGTCTGAACTGCAGCAGTTCTTTACCCATTCATGACAGATGTCCAACTCTTGGTCCAATGGTCTACATCCCATTGACAGTGCAACCCCTCACAGCTCAGTGTGAAAACTCTATGGAGCTTTACAGATTGAAACACCAGCTTTATGACACGAGACACACTCCCTGACATGTTCACTCTGTTGTGTGACCAGTTCCATATTCAATGTAATCATTAAAATGGCTCCGAGGTCCTTGTGACTAATGTGCAGACCACTTATGTGCCCAGGAGCATCAAATAGGCAGGGAGGGACCCCGTGTCAGGAGAAATGCTGAGTGTGGAGTATTGCTGCATCTTTCCAGGCAGTAAAGTCACACATGTCTTAACAGACAGAAATTCCCTCAAATGCAAGTTAATATACTCGGATTTTTGAGGACAAATCTAGCATTTCAAAATGTAAGAAACAAAAATGTTATTCCACATACATGTATAAATTAATTGCAAGGCTATGGCATATACCTCTTGATCAATTAAAAACAGACGAATAATGATAAAACAACAATGCAAATTATCTCTCATCAAAAGTGTCTCATACGTAATATCTCCTTTTGTTCTTGTGCTTCCTATCTTGTAAGTTGTAGTGAACTTAAACATGTAAACATCCCTGTAAGTTTTTTTACCATTAGATGTTGTCTTGCCTTAAAAATACTAATTTGTATAGACCCAGAGAGGGGAAGACATGATGATAGATGTTTTCTTTCACTATCAATAACTCCACAATAATCTCTGATCTACAATCAAGATTGCCGCCTGAAAAAGAGCTGAAATTACATAAGTGGCCGTGTTTGATCAGCAAATTGGGGTAAAAGTGGCGGAGCGTTCCAAAGATGGATGGAGAGAATGCTCATGACTGATCATTTTTATCACTGCCTTGTCTTGTCTCATTGAAAAGCCAACAAGGCAGAAACCCGACCAAAGCGGCAATTTTGTCTGCAGGTCTAACCAGGGTTGACATGTTCCCTTTGGACCTGAATGTCATCAGCAGTCAAGAAGCATCACTTAAGTGTGCAGGGACTGAAATCCTTTTTTTTGTGCATACCTGCACTGGTGCAGGTAACCTTGAAAATTATCTGGCCCAGACAAATTTTACCTACACCGCTACAGAATTTAGGAAGTACGGATCATATAAAAAACTACCCAGTATTCAGAAACTATTTTATGCAGTATTTTGTTATCAATCATGACAGTAAAAATTTACTATCACACCTATATGTACAAAATATAAAACCAGTACATAGACTGGCGCAGCTTAGGTGCAGGCAGATATCAAAAATATCTGCACAGCTCCAATTTTACCTGCACTTACAATGTTTCGTATTCACCAACACAAGAAAGATACCCATATTATTGAACTGACTTGAGAACACCTGCAACAGAAGAAGTTTATCCCTCTTCACTCACTAGTTTGTAAGACTAACTTCTGTCGTACCAGTTGCAGCAAATAAAGCAGAAATGAGACGTGACAAATGGGAGTTGTGCAGGAGGAGACTGATGGTCCATGTCTACTCCTTAACATGTCTCATTAAAGATCCAACCTGCCAGAAAACCTGCAAAAGTGCTTCCTCACCGGAAATTTTATCGTGCCTCCAGTCTGCTTATAAATTGCATCTGTCACAAAATGCCATGTTCTGAGTTTTGTGAGGCCAATGGAGGAGAGTATCAGAAATCAGAAACTACAGCTGTCTCAAGTATTGAGTTGTTACAACTAGCAATGTATACATGTATATATACAAAACACAATGTTTTCCTGTAATCTATTTCCTGAAGAGATAAAGAACATAGAACACCACACCAGTCTATATACAGGTGTAGTATAGCTGATCACTCAGTAAAGGTAAATTGACAACTTCCGAAACACTTTTGGTCGGCAAACTTTACACAAGAAGGTCTACAGTATAGAGTTCCACAGACTTCGCACTGCCAAAAATTCAGTTACACCTGACCATTCCAGTTTCGCTCTTGCGCTGCTCATTTCTGAGAAGTTCTTTCCACTTGATGTGTCTCTCCCCTCTCCCCCATTGGCTTGCCGCCAACATGGCCTACACTCCTTTATATGTGCCCAACTTTGTGTGGATACCATGAGAAGGGGGCAATCTTGGTGTGGCCAATAGTACATTGTATGTACTCAAAAAGAGCTAGGCTGGCAGCCAGGGTACCTCAGCCCAAACACCATACGTCTTCCACACCGGTGAGAAGACACAGTTGACTTTCTCCCTCCGCACAGATACATGCAGATTTATTCCCAGATAAATGCCAGGTCACAGGACCAGCATTACGACTATCTTTCACCTCATCAATTCAAACTGTCATTCTGAAACGTAAGTCACATTGGATCACCTCTGAAGGACGTTTCTTTCTCAGCAGTGTCACCTCTTAAAGCAAGCAAGAGACTCAGGCTTTAGAACTTTAAAAAAATCTCATCTTCTTCACAAAAAGTTCCTTGCAAACACCTCAACACAGAAGAAGTCTGTTGTCTCTTTTTGCAAAATAGTCCTAAGCACTTATTGCTGAGTATTGTTGTACATCAACTTCACTATATCTCTGAATGTATCGATGCACCTGCATCATGGTACTATCTCTGCTCCATTTACCCCAGTATAAAGCCTGCCCTCCTCTGTAAGACGCATGCCCTACTCAGTTCTGCCTTTCACGGCTGCATTGTCAGCTAATCCCTGTACAGACCTGGGTGAAATAATCTCCACGTCCCATTCCTTACTGTGTAAAGCAGGTGAAAGATGAAATATAGTATGATTTTTCTTTGGGACTTGTAGGCAAAATGCATTTCATTCTGTGAATTCGTTGGAAGCGCTGCACAGATCTTTTTAGACTTTTCCCTTCTACTTTATCTGGCCTCTACTCTATCTGGCCTCTAGAATATGAAGTATATCCATTACCCTAGTTTAAAACAATCTGTCCTGCAGCATTTTACAAGTGCAACAGCAGACACTTCTATGGAGTAAACTTAGAGAGGTTTAGGTCTGAAAACAAGCAGAACAACATGATTAATCATCTCCTCGATCAGCGACGTCGGACTGTCCACAGAAACGGCGTTGGAGGCAAGCATCGCCGGCGGGGCATACCGCACTCTCTCCCCACCCCATTACCCACCAGCCGCTGCACCCCGGCAACTGGAACCTCTCCTGCACTTCTAGAAAGGAACTTCCAAGCCAGCTAATAATGCTGTGTCAATGATAAATCACTGAGTTAGATTTACAAGGAAGACAGAAAGCCTAGGTGTAAGCTGTGTGTCTTCTATTACTCACTCCATTTCACCATGAAGTTACTGTAGCGTCCTCAACATCGGCAACCACGGAAAAGAGAAGACAACTTCTCTAGTCTGTCAAACACATGAGTGTAAAGAGCAGCGTAATTATACAAATTTTGTCTTGATACATTCATGTTTTAAATCCCTTTTCTGTTTAATGAAACAAATGCCTGGTTGCAGCTACAAAGTTTACAGGACCATTTTCAACTGTCCTGTAGTAAAAGATATCATAGCCTTACTATAGCCTGATCATATCAGAAACCATAACATCTACATGTACTGTTAGTTTATCAAGGCACAGATCTCCAATATTACCGGAATTACTCTACTAGCATGCAGAGGTTTGGGCATTTTATCAGTCTTTCTATTTTTGCTTTCTAACTACCCTGCCAATTTGATACTGTCTTGCTAAGTTGATACTGTCTTGTAGTTACCAACAGATCTGCTTGGAGATTATGGTATTATGTACTCAGAGTTGAAGGACGTTGGACATGGGCAGCCATGTGTCATCCCAGTCCACTTCTGAGATGTCTTACCAATTTTGCAAGTGACCTGTA